AATTGGTACTCTGGTTTATTTCATAATTGTTAATAATTAATTTCTTGTCATTTTTATGAAATAAGTTCCAAATGTTTTACATGCATATGGTATACTTTTCACAATAAAAAATCGTTTTTTGCACATAAAAGCAGATTGAGATGTCAGAAAATCTCTTTTATGTATAAAATATCAGGAATAATTATCGACATATAATATACGGCACAAATTTGACAGAAATTATTTATAATTTGACACGGAAATCTTGGTTCCGGGGAGACTACTCGGTTAGATCATAAAATTCCTATTAGAAGTAATTCAATAAACGGTCTGTTCATTTATTCCATTAGGTATATACAGTTTTTACATACATTTTACTTATGTTATGATTGCAAGGCACCGCGCCTGTCAGAAACCGTTATTGTTTTCTTTGAGAGTCAGCTGTTGAGAACTATGATCAGCAGGAATTTAACTGTTGAATTATAGACTTTGTATAATTATTGGCAGCCGGCTTGATTGCGTACGTGTGGTTCAAATCAAACATTAATGAGTCTTTTTCTTTTTTCATTTATTAATATACCAAACATTAAAATGTTGTCTCAAAAATTATTATTACAAAAGGGATATTTTATAACCGCTTTAACACGAAATATCACTCGTTTTATAAGTGGTTTCCGCATTTACGATGAAATAAGCAAATGTTTTTGCATAATTAAACACATTTTCTATTTGAAAATGCGAAGAAGAAATACATTTTGCTCTGTACTTATGAATCAATTTTCCGTTTTAAGTGGGATGTCATTTGGCACACGGCTTTGATTGGCAGCTGCAAAGTAGTGTAATTATATTTCAAAGACAGCTACGAAACACATTACAATAATGATGATGTTAGTTTCAACATTACAGGCTTACAGTCCCTATAATGTATCTTTGCTTTTATGTGATTGATGCGCAAGTAATAGATTAACAACGGCAATTTCCATTTTTTCTTTTACATTCCTATACAACAGACAATTAAGTAACTTTTCGAATCAAAAATAATTAAACTTGAAAATTACATTTTGCATACCTAAAATACTCTTCATTCAACATTTTTTATTGTCAATAAAAGAGCCTGTTAAATATGAACTTAATGACAATATCTAATTAATGCGAATAAATAAGGAAAATATAATACAATAGAGGTATTAACTAAATACACTAAAAAGAAATCCCTTTTAAAAAAGGGGGTTAAGATATAAAAAAGACTTGTTTAAAACCGTCATCATATCCATGAGACTGTTCGAAATCAGGAACCTTGTCACTGGTTGTCTCGTCGTGTCATATCTCTAATGTTTTATTTATTTAGAGAATTCAGTGGGGATGACACATCTTTGATAGTTTCTGTTAATTTATTCCAAACTTTTTTTTTAGAATGGAAAGATAATGACCCTGGTCGATAATTTATGTAGACAGAATCATGGAACTATATGTATGTTACGTTCTATGTCTTTTGGTAAACATTGTCGTTGGGTTACCGTGCTCATTGACGTATACCTCACATCGTCTAATATTACCTGCAAAAAACAAACCTGCTGTAAGTAGTCCTAGCCTAGTCTAGTCTAGTCTAAAACCTATGACATTGTGGTAAAAGTTTACAAGATTTGGTCAAGCGATACTTAATTATCATTAGAAACCGAAGAATTCCCAATTTTAAGGCATCGAAGGGACACAACTCCCGAACGGCAAATCACAAAACTATCATTGAAAAACCGAACTTGACCTACATCTAATGGTCCATGCATAAAATTATGTTGAAATATTAAAAGTTTTGGCCAAGTGGTACTTTAATCATCATCTGAAAACCAAAGAAAGCCTATGGTAACTAAGGGGTATATCTATTGAACCGTAAATGACAAAATAATGAAATTCGAAATTGACCAGTATTTTATGTTCCATAACATTATGTTAAATTTTCACAAGATTTTGTCTACCGGTACTTTAATCATCTTCCGGATACCAAAGTTGTGACGGACGGATGAACGGACACGTGCATCACCATGTCTCCACCTTGTAGGCGGAGGTATACAAAAACCTTCATTAAGCCATATAACTAGTATAAAAGCTTCACTACACCGTAGATATGAACCAATATCATAATAATTCCCTTGCTTTAAAATCATTCACATTTAGTTTCGTTTAGGCGTTTCGTTATTCCAAATTTCTTCGTTCAATCGCACCTATTCGGGACAGAAACACTCTAGTTCATCCGATGACATATACGTATTAAGGCGTTTTAATATAAAACTATAAGTACATGTTGCACTGATATACTTTTTCTTTAAAGTGCATAGGATTGTATAATACTGATTAAAAGTTACAATGTTAAAATGATTCTTGATTGAAGAACATTAAAATTTGTTGAATCAGATATGATATATGAAACCATAAATCAAATCAAATCAAATCCTAACCCGAATGAATTTCAGAGTAAATATTGTATAATGTTGTAAGACTGTTACAAGTTATCTAACTTATGAAAGATAATTCTGTTGATGCGTTAGTTATAATCATCATTATAAACTTCAAAAATTTTACGGAGACCATTACGAGTTGGCTGGCCGTTATGGAATGTCTGTGTAACAGATAGATGGCCACTGATATGTTCAAATTGTCCTCTTTTCCTCGATTGACAGCACAGAATGAGATCTATCACCGGATTTTTCGTTATGATTAGTCAAGTTTTCTATATGTGTTTTTTTTACTTGTTCGTCGTTTCGTTGTTTTTTGGGTGTTTTTTGCCATGGCATTGTCAGTTTTTCTTCGACTGGTGAGTTTTGATTGGGCCCTTGGTATCTTCCACCTCTTGTTTTTACTTTTGTAAATTGTTTCCATTTCTCTCAAGTATAAACATTTTCAAAATTTCAATATTTTGAACCTAACCGAAAAAAGAGAAAACTTGAAACTATATATTGATGATTTTAAGTCAATGAAACAACAACCGACATAAAAAGACTTCAATGGGTTATGGCGTGTCAAACGTTGCAATATTCACAAAAAATAAAATATATGTTCATAAAACTTAATATATATTCAATTAAAGACATTGACGAGGGTCTTTGTGATTAGTTTTATTAAAATCTTGAGTCCGTAAAATCTGACAAAATCAAACGATATCAACCAACCAATCTCAAAATTGTCCCGAGTCTTTAGATAAGATGAATAAAGTTTGAACTATCCCCAAAATGACTATAACTTTGCAATACAACTAAAGACATTGACGAGGGTCTTTATTATAAATTATTTTCAAATCCTGAGTCCATAAAACCTGACAAAATCAACCAACGGAACGAATGCAAAACAACTGTCATATTCTTGACTTGGCACAGGCATTTTCTGAAGAAAATGATGGGTTGAACCTGGTTTTATAGCTAGCTAAACGTCCCACTTGTATGATAATTGTTTATAGTTCAGTTATATTGATAAAATTGGTTGAGCAACCCAAACAGACATAATTGGTAAATGTGACAATAATTGGAACCCAGCAGCCAAAACCAAGATATTATTTACACATACAGTTAAAAACTAAATAATGAAAAGTATTAATTTCAAGGATGTTACTATCCCAGAAATACCATTTAAAACAAAGGGTCCAGCAACCAACTTCCGTACTATGTTTAAGGTTGTAGTCAGCGGACATATAAAACAATGACAGCATGTTGATATCAGAACACATTAAATTTCCGTAACATACTTCCGATGTTTACAATGCTTTGTTTTAATATTTCCTTGCCATAGAATCAAATGGTTAACTTTCTATTTAATCAGTTGTTTACGAAAACTTAATTTCCAAACCATCGATGATCAATTTTATTTCACAGAACTGTAAATTGTTATATGTTTGTAACTTCTCTGTCAGAATACTTTGGTTAAATGGAATACTTTAAATTGAAGTTTAAAAATGACAAGTGTCAAGATCCTCCAGACATAGATACCATACATGGCATATATAAATATATCTATTCCGTGTAAATCATGAAAATTACGTGATATCATATAATTTATGAAAGGTCTGAGAAAATTCGAAGTACCTTTTACTTTACCTTTCGTGGCCGTCATTTAGTCTACTGTATTGTATAAATTTCAAGATTTCTCTAAAAGGGAGTATAATTTGACATTGTATACATACGTGTTGATTATTCCAAAAAGGTGCATGCTGGGGCTGATGTTTTTCCTTTCTATGAATAGTTGTATGTTTATATGTATATATGGATATTCTATTTTTAAAATATATTTTTTTTTTATAGTTGTATGTATTTGGCATATTATAGTCTGAACATTTGTCTTCCAACATGAAAGTGTATATCGTTTTATCAGCGTGTATATTTTGTTATGCATATGACTGATGACTGTTATATTTAAAATATCTCTAAGCTCAACGTTGTTCTAAAGATTTTGCCTTGCAACAGTTCACCTATGAACTACTTAAATTGGTGTTGCAAGGGTTGTTTAAGGCACGGAAAGCATATACAGGCCACTTGCGCAACATCGTATATAACGTGGACTGCGTATTTATACACCTCACAAAGCCTAACGGACGCATCCTCGTCATCATTTTTACAGTTAAGAAACCACATTTTAACCATAGGAAATATATTGATTGATTGTTGTATGCGTGTGAAATTGACGGTAACTTGAAATTGGTTATGTTTGATATGAGCAGAAATATTGCCTTGCAACAGGCCACACACGGACGTCTAAAAAGTTATTGCTAATACACTTTCACGTTTCATTTAGTCCTTAATGAGACATGGGAATCATCATTCCGACCGGAACTTAATGCGTATAAATCCATCCCGGACAACCAAACGACAATGAATGTGTCATACTTCTCAAAATGAGAAACTGATTAAAATGTATATACCCCTTGGTACACAGGACATATGATAAAGTCTTATACGAGTCTCATTAACAACAACTAGTAATATAACACCAGTATATTGTCAAATATGCCACAATAAATAAGAACAACAATTTATAAATTCGGTTCCTGAATTGTGAAAGGAACATGGATATGTGGCGGGGTTGAACCCTTTTTGTGATCTTAACCTTCCACAGTTTTAATGTTCATCGATGGACTAACAAACGGTTCATTTAAAGACCATTAAAAAGATTTAGTATAGGCAAAGAATTAAACTATAAAAACGGTATATTAGGCAACGGAGATTGTTGTTTGCTAAATTTCCTGTGGCAAAATTTCATGCAAATTCAAAATAAATTAAGAACAAATTGATTAGCTCAATGGGTTGGTTCTGCAAAGGGGTCGATTTTGATGAGGGACGGGATTTGAAAAGGAGTATGTTGGATAGGGACAAGACTAATTATACTGATACTCATTTGATGTTGTAATGATTTTTTAACGTGCAGAGGGCTCGGATCTGCCCACACGAGAATCAGATTCAACACAACTATTCAAAAAGCATCGAAAATCGAACGCATCTCTATAACAGTGGATGGGAGAAGTCCAATTGACAACATCTATATACCTTAGTCAATCCTTAGAGTATGGTTACAAAACACAAATATAATATAAAAAATGTCTATATCAATATTGTTTCTTTAGTCTTGTTTAATCTTTTCTTGTTGTGTAGCATCATAATTTCTGGGTGCTCAAAGTCTGCTGGTTGTTTTCTGTAGAATTGTCACTGTCACTGTCCGATTTATTCAATAACTCTTGTGTGGAGAGCAATGATCTCAGAATATGTTTTTCAAACTCCCGACCAGCAGTAAAAACCCTTGAAATGTGGGGCGTCTGTTTTGCTGTGCGGGATGTATAAATACACAGTCACGTCCGTTCGGATTGGGACGTAAAGTCCGATGCCTCGTATAGGGTAAGTATCACGCTCTCTGTACGTTAACATATCCTCTTTCTCCAGTGGTAGTCCAAATTTCCTGGCCGAACATATACTTGTATTAATCGATAGTTTATTCTCGTCCTGAATATGAATGAAATGTATACCACTGGACAGGAACGTTTGATATTCTGAAAAGCCAGTTTTTTCATATACATGTATGTAATCGTTTTAACGCAATTTTTAGCATACGTGGTTAATTTTGGCTCTGGGTTATAGCAATTATTTGGTGTCCGCCGTCGTCGTTTTTTGTTTTTGACCTTGTAAAAATCCAATGTCCTCTAAAACCACTAGACAAAGTTCAGTCAACCTTGACCTGAATGATCTTTACGCCATCTTGTACAACTTTTTTTTTTACCACCATGACATGACTGAAAATAAAACACAATAGTTAAATCTAAGAAAATATCCAAATATAAAAAAAAAAAAAATAATAAAATCTTCAAAAATGCTCAGATATACATACTTTCTCATTCTGCCAAAATAACCACGTGGTTCTTTTAAATATTGCCCCTAAATGAGAATGTTGACCAATTTTAGCGGGTATTTTTTTTATGAAACTATAATACATAAACAGATACTGTTTCATGTAACAATATAATAATCAGCAATAAAAAAATCAACAAAAATACATTTATTTCTGAAGCCTTCAATTTAGTTCCTTTTAGGATTTATTAACCAATTAGATAGAAACGAACCACTTAGGATTATTTCTTAGAGTTATTGAAGTTTTTACTGACTTATGATGTTTTTGGATATGATATTGAAAAGAAGAATTGACAGAAAGAAACTGCAAACGAAAAATTGATTAAAAAGCACATTGAGATCTTAAGATATACAGATCGTTTGTTGGTCAATTATATTACGTTAACTGCTTATTGGTAGATTATTTATTTTAAGAAGGCTGGGGCTTGGAAGATTTTATGGAAACAATTTTCTATCCTGAATTTTTTATTGGATAAATAATGTGGTCTCGACAATAATGAAAACAAAACCTTATTGAACCTCATTTCCATTTGATTTTATTTAAAAAAGAAACAATTTTATAAGTGATTCAGGTACCTAAGTGCCTTTTTGTTTTATTGTTCATTAGCATGAGTTGTCCAAATTACACTCCTCTTTGTAGCTGCTGTTAATGCTGCTACTCTTCATTAAGAATTCATGGTCACTTAGTATACAAGTTAAACATCATACCTGACTACCTTCAAGGCTACGTAAGCACAATTGCTTTGGTAAACGATTAAATATAAAGCCGTGAACCTAACGGTATGTCGAAAACGCGACAATATTTAAAGATCATTTACCATAATTTTCAGTAAATTATAATAATATGGGTAATATTTCAATGAAAACAAAAGATAACAATAATAAAAATGGAATATAAACGAAACAATAATTTTAAAATAATATACACAACTTATTATATATCGTAAACGCAAAACTTTTCAACATATTTACTTCCTTTGTTGTGTCTGATACCTTTAACAATAAAGCAAACCAATCTGTATAATCCGCTATTTGTATGTCGCAGGAAAGAAAACTTGTAGGAAGAAATCGGTTTTGAAAATAAACTTCGTTTTGTTCTAATTATCGTCGTATTTGTCCTAATGAATATGCAGAAATATAAAAATTCATATAACAAACATAATTATAATTCACTCAGGAATAGCTTTGCTCTACCAAAGTAATTATATTCATAGCAAATATGTCTGAAATATTTGCGATTGACGTTAATCGCCTGTTTGATCATTTCATTATCGTATATGATAACGTTTTCTTTCACTTATTTTATCATTTTAAACTAAAACTTTTCAATTATGAAATTGAACCAGAGTTATACAGTACAAAATAATTTTAGTAAATCATCAAAACTTATATAACTTTAATGATTATTATATGGGTTTTTGACTAACAATATAGAACTGTGTTCATTTTTCGTAATGGTGCCCATAAATTCTTAGCCTACTTTAAAACAATTCGGTGGGAAAGAAATTTTACGAGGAAACTTGAAAAATGCATGGAGCTCTACATGAACAAACACGTGAAAATGTTGTTAGGAACGTTATCCTGACCTGTAAATGTGTATAAAATTAATTTCGCATTATGGAATTAAACTTTTTAAAAAATTGATTAAGTTCAGGAAGTATTTTTTTTTACAAAATAAACAATGAAATAATACGCTTATTACATGTACCCATTGTAAAAGTTATATGCAAATAAGTTCACGTCTTTTCTCTGTTGTCTGATAAATCTTGGTCACTTTTTGTTGTATCTTATTAGAATGCCTATTTTGATTTTTTAATATTTTACTGGTAATTCTTGATTGTGATCGACATTCGCGTTCTAGAAGTGAAAGCTTACGCAACGAAAGAAAATCCACATGATCAGGGGTTATGGTTAATCGTTAGTCCATTCGGGGCATTCAATCCGTTTTGTTTTGAAAAAAGAAACTGATACTTCAGAAAAATAAAATAGGAGAGTGCTGAGATATGCTATTAACATGTACCTACCATGCATCACGCGTGAATTTAAACGTATCAATGATATAAGAAACCAGTCTTTTAGAAGCTTTTCTGTGTGGTCGTCACGTTTATATATGAATTTTATCCTCACGTTTTCCATGTATTCTTCACCCATATTGTCAAGGTTAGATTCAAAATATATTTAATTATTATATATGGCGTTCAAGTGTAGACCTACCTCTAAAATAATCAAAATTTCAGAAAATAAATGTCCATTTCTTACAAATGACATGTAAAAAAAGATAAGCGCGTCTAAAATATGACAATGATAGATAATTTTCCACTTTATCTCGTTTACAATTTGATCAAAAGTACACAGAAGTTGACAGGTCAAAGTGATAAACTGTCTCCACTAGTTATGTTGTTTGTCTTTAATTCTGTTGGACATTTTTTCTCATGGTAAAAACTGCGCAAAATTCCTCAGAAACAATTGCAGCCTTGTATTTGCACAAGTAGCAAAGTCTTGATTCAAGGTCCTCTCGAAAACGAGGACAAAAACTCGACCGAATTCGAGTGCAAAGGACAATAAAATTCTTTATTTATAGTAAGAAAACACAGCTTCAATGCAATTAGAATGTACCAACGTCTTAGTCTGACGACACTTCAAGACTTATGACTGCAATGTCTGTCATTGCAAAGAACATGTTGTACTACTGTTTTTTTCAGTGAATGTATGTTGTTACCTTAGTTCGATGTACTATTATATTGTACTTTGGAACCATTTGTCCATTCCAGTAAGTCTGACACAGTTAACGTAACAAATCATAACGATGATCACCTAGTTGTAAAGGTTTATCATAATAAGTAAATTTGTACTGCCATTTGAATTTACTAACCTAGTTTCATATTTTGAATTGTTTCTCATTTTGTTATTTAAAGGCCTTTTATAGCTTGTTATGCAGTGTGGGTTTTGCTCTTTGTTGTAGGCCGCACGGTAACTGGTAGTTGTTTACTTTTGTTTGGTGTATAGTTCTCTCATTGATCAAACCACATCTTATTTTTATATAAAACTTAAGATTCAACTTCAGAGAATGAAAAAAATACTTGATGCAATTTTATATTTGGCTTTTAAACGAGAACATGCTATATATATATATATACGATCTGTACACCTTTGATATGAATGCGATTCTTTAGCTAAGTATGTAAGATTTCGTGAGAAGAAAAGGGAAGTGACTCTAATTCGTATTGGCATTCTTCGCCACATACAAGTCGTTAAGAAACATTCTGTCGCGCTATCGTTATTTTTATTAGATAGGTCCTAACGTGAAATGATTTAAAGTTTCCTACACGTTGTTAGTTTAAAGGACAACTGTTTTAACATTACATGTACTTAGTTGATAAATTTGAATTCAGTTTATTTTTACACTTTTGTCGTTGTGCAAAATGTTTCGGTCCTCTAAAGAAGACATTATTTGTAATGTAAGAATGTTTCCCGCAATAAAGATAAAAAAAAATTGTTTTTCTGTGATCTTGAGTTTAAAGATCTTTTTGATTTTGTAGCACTGGCACCTCTTGGTGTTAGCTATCGTTGCAGTGACTTTAAAGATTGTAAAATTATTGTTTTCTTCAATTCTAAATTAAATGAAAAAAATCCTATTTTTAATTTTTTAGGTTCAGTCATTAAAATTGATGTCGAAATTATATGAAAAAATAATATGACAAATTCTTAGAGGCAAGCTACAAATTTTCACAGAGTGTCAGAAGTTAAAAAAGAGATTTTAGACAAGATATGTTATAGTAGCGTTGTATAATGACACTAATATAACTGCTGGAAATTTTTAATGGTGGCATATTAAATATTTTCAACATGCCATTTTAATTCAAAGGGTCATTTTATACGTTAAAATAATAAAATAAAAAACACATGTTGATGCTGTGCTTGTTCATTAAACAGAATGGTCAAATTTAATTCTCTGACATGATAGTGATTAATCATTACACTTAATGTGGATTTTGTTAATTCATCCATCAAACTAAAAGAGCACAGTCATATATAAACCCTAGGGACGCAAATAAACTCATCATAGTTACCTGAATTGAAATTTTGTATGTCAGATGAGCGTTTCGTCTACAAAAGACTCATTAGTGACGCTCGATTAAAAAATGTAAAAAAGGCCAAATAAAGTACAAAGTTGAAGAGATTTGAGAACCAAAAATTCCGAAAGGTTTTGCCAAATACAGCTATATGGCAATCTATTCCTTGAGTAGAACATCCTGAGAATTTCATAAACGATTCATTTTCAAAAATACAAATTTTCCTTTTTTAACGTTTAATCTTTTACTAATGATTTTTTTGTATCTCTTAAATCCATTCTCGGAATATTATTCATTCAATTAAAATGCGTTCGTATTTTATATATATCTTTAGTGATTCCAGTTAATATCCTTTTTATGTTTTATTGCATAAGTTACTTAGAAATGTTTTCTGAAACAAAAATGGTCTAAGTATTTTAAAAACAAAAAATAAATAAAAAAATATATTAAATATAAACCAACAATTACAGAAATTAACTTTTCCTAAGGTTTTCAAAGTAGTAATGAAATTACAAATAGTAATAGTTTCATGGTTTAGAATAAATAAATATAAATATATTTACAGGAAACAAAAGTTCATCGCAATGTTACTTCAAAGTAAAATAAAGTACATAGAAAATTAAAAGTATGTCATCGATTAATTATTACATTTAAAAAAAAAGTTATGTCAATACCGTAAGGGAAATCTGGGAAGTGTCGTATTTCCACATGCATAAAATCCGGCAAATTATCGTCAGCTTAATATGTTTACTTGAAATATGTGACCTACATAAAATAGAGAGGATAAAATAAAGTTCATATTAATAATCTGTATTGAAGAGGATGACCCCATTAGCCAAAGCTAATCTTTATGAGAGTCATTTAACATCCCAAATTAGCATACGATGGACCACATAATATAGAAGTATATTATTTACACAAAACACATACATATTCATTTACGGTATATTTGAAAGGTTCCAAATAAATAGTTACCCCCTACCACCCCATCCCCTTCCGAAAAAAAACCAACAAACAAACAAAAAAATGAAAATAAACAGTCTTGTCTATTGTTAAAATAAATACATCATATATACCAAGATTAAAATTGTGTACGCCAGACGCGTGGCGCGATTCGTCAACAAAAGACTCGTCAGTGACGCTCGAATCATAAAAGTAAAAATGACCAAATGAAGTTCGAAGTTGAGGACATTGAGGACCCAAACTTCCGAAAGGTTTAGCCAAAATACAGTTAAGGTAATCTATTCCTAGGGTAGAAAATCCATAGTATTGCAAAAAATTCAAAGTTTTGTAAACTTTTTATAAGGCGGTATGTTGATATCTTGGCATTTGTATAGTTGGGTTGGTGTCTCAGTAACATATACCCGACAACTCATTTTACTCATTCAAAATTGTCAATGAATCTGAGGTTTTAAACATAAGCATAAGCTGTCTTTTTGTTCTTCTAAGGCACTAGACAAATAAATGAAATTTAAGAGGAAAAATATGTACGAACTAACCAGATTTTATTTTTAATCATTGTATAGCTCCCTTTAAATTTCTTTTCAAGTAATCAACGTGAAATATGAAGTAGCTGTGAAGTGGCAATGTTACTGCAACTTAGATTTATTCTTGATATTAAATGATAAAATCTTTATAGAGGTTTACTGCAATAAAATATACATGTGTACTTAATGATTCTGGAAAAAAAAGTCGACGTGTCACAAACGATTAAAAACAGATAAAATAAGAAACTAAGAGGGAGAGAGATGTTTTTAGTCTAAAATACTGAATTTAACAAAAATTACCTTAAAATCTGTAAATATAAGCAAAGATGGTCAGTTTTTAGTCCTTAATACGGAATTGAACAAACTGAAATAACCCCAAAATCTGTAAATATTTAAGCAAAGATGGTCAGGTGTCTCGAATATTTTCTTTCGGTTGAATATCAAGTCTCTAATATCAAGTCATGCTGTCTCCTTTGAAAATCGAAGAACGGATTTAATCCCAAATATTTCTGATAAAAACGGGGTTACGGCTTTGACGAGAAATCACTGTATTCTACATTTATAGGTTTATTATTAATCTGAAACAATTTATATTTTTTTTTTCTATTAGGTGTCCAGGTGCCTTTGTGCTAATGACAAAAAGTAAAAAAAAGACTGTCTATTTATAACCAGTGTATCATTATTATCTCGATGGTTTTCTTGACAAAACGAGGAATGATTTTAAATATAAGAAGAACTATCAGTACAATAAATTAACGATTTTTTGCTTAACATCCAGTGGCGCATATTTCATGCATATTTAAAATGAAAACAAATTAAAAGAAAGTTGTCATATGAGTAAGTAGACTTGGAAAAAGTCCTTGACATATGAACTGTTACTTAAAATGAGGATATGTTGGTTATGGGCAAATCTTTTGCCCTGCAATAGGCCACCTACTGTAACAAATCCCCTAATAAGTTGTTGGATGGATTCTTTAGCGCGAAATGAGAATGGCACTATCCAAAAACGAGTCATCGAATTAAATGTCCCAGATCCGTCCGTTCGTGGCTACGTATTTACAGATCCCGCTCTGCCAAACGGACGTTTTCTTAGCATGGGTCTTACTGCATGATGGATGAGAGAAGTCACGCGATTAGGTGACCATATATCTATAATATATCATCCCTTTAACAAGATTGATTGATTGATTGTTGGTTGCTTAACGTCCAGTGGCAAATATTTCATGCATTTTCAGGACGAGAACAAGTTCACAATAAATACAATAGGTAGGTTCTGTAATAGATTAAGGGATTATGGTCGGAGAAATTTAGACTGCCACGGGAAATGAGGGTATATTGGATAGGGACAGAAATTTAGCCTTGCAACAGGTCACCTACGGACCCCTCAAAGAGTTGTTGCAAGGGTTCTTAACGTGCAAAGAGCGTGGCACTCTCTTTACACGAGGCATCGGATTTAACGTCCCCATTCTGACCGGACGTCCTTTAACAAGAAGATACCATTCTTATAATAGATAACAGTTAATGAAAGTGAAGAAAAAAAATCCAAATTATAAGAGTTATTGCATGAAATTTCGAAACCTACATAAACATCCTTTGTTAAAACGTCGGAATAAATTATAAAATTATGTTAACCACACACATCAAAAATAATACAGAACGTTGTACAAAAAAATAAAATAACAAAAATACCGAACTCCGAGGAAAATTCTAAACGGAAAGTCCCTAAGCAAATTGCAAAATCAAAAGCTCAAACCGTGACATCAAACGTATGGATAACAACTGTCATATTCCTGAATTGGTACAGGCATTTTCTTATGTAGAATATGTTTTTGCGAAGATTCATTGACAATCTGGGAAGTCATTAACTTAAAATTTGGAAAGATAGTTTGCAGTTACTTTTTAAACTTTTTATGATTCACTTTAATACCTTGCGTATCATTCGAAGAGTTTTAAACCTGCATGGCTATATCAATGATTCAGATATAAAAAAAATCACGTTCTACAAAGACATCGTAAATACAAAGATGTCGACTCTAAATATAAATAAGATGTGACCAAATGACGTAGAAGTTAGCAACTATAGGTTATCGTGCGGCCTTCAACAATGAGCAAAACCATACCGCATAGCAAGCTACAAAAGGCCCCGCAATGACAAATGTTAAACATTTCAAACGAGAAATGTGTTTTATATGTTATGATAAGACTGAGGA